TGAGCTGCGTGAAATTGATATATTTGAATGTAAGCTCCCTATTGTTAGGAGCATTTGGATGTACTGTCTGGAGCTAATTGATGTATCAATGTGCTGTCAAGTGTAAATAAGAATTATTTTTTTGTTTAATTGATTTGTTGTTTAATTTTAATCTGCATTATGTTGAAGGCAAAAAAGACATATTGAAGGTACACTTTCATAACGCGAAAATCAAATTCACAACGCGAAAGTCAAATTCGCGTTGTGATTGTTGCGAAAGTCAAATTCGCAACGCGAAAGTAAAATTCGCTACGTGAAAGTCAAATTTGCGTTGCGATTTTCGCGTTACGAATTTTACTTTCGCGTTACGAATTTTACTTTCGAGTTTCGAATTTGACTTTCGCGTTTCGAATTTGACTTTCGTAACAATCGCAACGCGAAAATCGCAACGTGAATTTGACTTTCGCGTTGTGAATTCAAGGAAAACACCTTCAAAAAGATAACAAACAATAATTTGATAAGTGATAACAACTGAACATATCATAGCAATGTTCAAACTCAAGTTACTAATGCATGTCTAACTGAAAATGTATGCATTTACACATAAAATACACATAATACAATGTTTGCATTTAAAAATCACCTAAGTTAATAAGTCCCAAAAGGTGAAGCCGGTTGTGATTGAGATTTTGATTTTGATTGCGATTTTGATTTCCTTTTGCTTGGCACCATATGTTCTTTGGATTTTGATGAGGATCCATATTTTGGTAAAGGAAACGATGATTGTGATGGCACTGGTTATCCATAGGTCAATCTTGTATGACCACTTTCCTTGCACCGACTACATGTCGATATCCTATTCTCTTCACCCTTAAACGGTATACGATCATGATTTTTTGGTCTGCCAGGTAGCCTGTTGTCCATGACTGGTGGCAAAATTATTTGTAAGTCATCTGGTATGTCTCACTCAGAAGGATATGAAATAGGGTAGACAATCTCAGCATAAGTCTGTCAATATACTTCTGTAGTGTAGCAATCCATAGCGTATGCGCTTGAATCATCTTGGTTTAGATGAAGAACAACTTTTATAACATGGCTACACGGATAACCAGATGTTTACCATTTTATACAACTACACGTCTTTGCATTTAGATCGACAAGCTCATTTAAGTTATTATTCAATACTTGAAACAAAGTGTTTGAACATGGTTCAACTCTCCATGATGTTTACTTCACAACACGTTTCGTTATCTTTTTTTCATTCCATGGTGTAACACGACGTTTCAATGTTCCTGTAAATTTAAATAAATAATACTTAGTAAAATATATTAAATATGATAAGTTACGAATTTAAAGAAATAATACCTGCATGGTTTCTTTTCTTGTAGTACCACTGTTGAATATAGGCTCGAAAAAATTCCATTAACATAATAATGAGTAATTTTTGGGAATGACGACTTAGAGCGTTGATTGATTCTGCACTATTAGACGTCATGAAACCATATCTTGCTCCAAGTTGATGTACCATTGGCCATCTTTTAAACCCGACATCTTCTAGTGTTTGAGCACATTGAGGCAAAACACGTCTTAAACAATTTATATGCTTATTAAAATCCACTTCCCGATAAGCTTTTACAGCCTTCCAGTATGTCCATTTGTGATTTTTTAATTCCAGCAGACCTTTATTTTAGATTTCTGTACAAATAAACACCACAAAGTCCATGAAAAACATCTGGGAATCACCTTCTAACAGCGTTGTCAATTGAGTTTACCCTATCGGATATGATTGTCATGTTACTAATAGGACCTATGCAATCTTTAAGATGCCCCATAAACCATATCCATGAATCAGAGGTTTCAGATTTGCCAACCCTGTAAGATATTGACAATATCTCATTGTTAGCATCCATGGCTACTGCTAATAACTTTACTCCAAGGTGTCGACCTTTCAAATGTGCTCCGTCGACTATAATAACTGGCGCATGCAAGTAATAAACGAACGAATCTACAAAATAATATAAACAAGAAATATAATTATTTAAATGTGAAATGCATATAACTATTAAAAATGAGTCTGAGTCAACAAAATTATATTGATTTACTAACCGCAGCACCAATGGCGATAAACAACAACTCAAAGCGTCCATCTCTATCTGTTTTGATATGAGTTACCGACCCAGGATTTTTCAGCTTTAAATTGTGATAATAAGCCGACAGTTGGGCAAACGATGCTTCTGGTGACCCCCTCAACAATTCCAAGGCATACATTTGGCTCTCCAAGCTTGAGAATATAAGATACTAATCTTGAACCGAGCATTTATATCAATCATAATTTCATGTCCCTGATATACCCTGCCATTCAAAAACATTAACTCAGTCAGAAAACCACCCAACACCTTTTTGTTTGCCTGTCTATGGTAAGGAAAAACTTGGGTTCTTGAACATGTATGTTTATCAATAAAAGTACTAACTTGAAACATTTCGCAATCTTTTATCCTCTTTGCAATCATACGCCACGTACATTTTTTTCAATCATACACTTTGTTTTGAAACGATCTTTACTTGATTTGTTAACTTTTAGTTGATAGTCATCTTCCACACATTTCGTATACAAAGCTATCTTCAAGTCTTCCTTTGTATCAAAACAATCATCTTTCTTAATACGAATAACTTTTGTGTAACAATCAATTGTTATCTTTACCAACTCTTTTTCCGATATCTGAAGTAATTCTGGCATATTCCAGTTATACTCCCGTGGTATTTTCTTCTTCTTTTTTTCTTCGGGGACTTCTTCTTCTTCTTTTTCTTCTTCAGGGTTATATGAATTACAGAATGGATGTTCAACATGTTCATTCACAATCGTAACTTCCTCTTCATTATCACCAACAACATATTCCTCAGCAATGGTTGTTTCTTCATCAAAATTCAGGTATTGACCAATATCAAAATCATTACATGCAGGGTCTGTTTCTTCTTCTGAAACATCATCAAAATCCAAGTATTGACCAAGATCAAAGTCCGGGTATTGACCAATATCAAATTTCGAATACTAACTAGTACTCACAATTTTTTCTGTTGGCTCATCATTGTCTAATTGATCAATACGAAAACCGAAATTTGGTGTTGAAAGTTGATTGGGATTTGGATTAGGGAAATGTTATGGGTTTTGAGATTGTGTTTTGCATTGGAAATGTGGTGAAACAAAATTTTCTTGGTGATGAAATTGTGGTGGAACCATTAAATTTTGAGGTTGATAACAACATTGTATATTGTGAGCACCATAAACTCGGGTTGAAGAACTTAGTTGATTATTACTCGCTACTGACCCAACTTCACTACTTCTAGGTTCAACAACATACAATGTAACATCATCTTGCGAAACACTAATGTAAGCAATGAATCGTTCAACATCTTCATTGTCGGTTAACAAATAAACTTTACATTTTTTTCTGATAAGATAGCCTAAATCCACTTAGAGGCTCTAAATTCAATTTCTTTGCAACACGTAACATTAGAGTTTCATAAGTTATCTTTTTTAATGACAGTTTTAGTTGAAGATTCATGGGTAAATGCATATTTTGTAAAACACCATGAACATTCTCCCATGACCCTCCAAAACACAAATCTATCCAAACATGATCAACATTAGATGATTTCATTATATAAATTGTAAATTAATTTACTAAACAAACGAGTTATAAACTATATATCATCACTAACTTAGAGAAAAACATACCTTTATTAAGTTGATAGTTGATAATTTGAGAGAGAAATCATTGAAAAATTATATAGAAATAAAATTATGTAAAAAAATTAGAGATGGGGAAAGATGTTGTTGGATATAGAAACGGATGTCGTCGGAGAGAGTGAGAGATGGAGATGGAATGAGTTGCGATTTAGGGATTTAGGTTATGAGTTGCTGCTGCTACGTAGTTTATATACCCAAAACATTTGTGTTGCGAAAATAAAAGCTGTTGCGAAATTAAAATTCGTATTGCGAATTCGAAAATCGAGTTGCCAAAATAAAAATTCGTGTTGCGATTTAGAAAATCTTGTTGCGAAAAAGAAATACGCGTTACGAATTCAGAAATTAAGTTGCGAATTTGGAAAATCGCGTTGCGATTGTAGAAACTGAGTTGCGAAATTGGAGTTCGCGTTGCTAATTTGTTGGTCATTTTCGCAAATCCAAAAAAAGTTGGTTAAAATCGTATATTATAAGACATTTTCGGTGACTGAAGTTATTTTCTCTTCAAAAAATTGATCTTTTTGATTTAACTCTATACGAATTGACTCAACTTATAATTTTATAAACTCAACTAATTTTTTAAAAACTTGAGTTGAGTTATAAAATAGAATTCGAATAATAACTAAAATAACTTGAAATTTTTAGTAATGAGTGAATTAGTTTTTAAGTTTGATTTGAGTTTTTCAACTTTGTATAATATATGTATATCACATATTAAAAATATGAAGAAATATATATATGTATTGTATATGGTTATAAAAAATCGTTTAAATTAAATTAAATTAAATAATATCATAATATTATAAATATTTATAATTAAATTTAAATAAAAATTTGAACAATTCGACTCGATTCAAATTTTATAAACTCGACTTGACTCAAAAAATTACAAATAAAATTTGAGTTATAAAATAAAACTTACCAACATAAAAAACTTAAATTTTTTTAATTTCACTCGACCAAAACCACAATCTTAACTAATGAAGAATACTACAAAGTATAAACCCAAGAACCATTCAACGTTTACCGCATCCCATATCATCTTTCTCACAACCATTGGTGGGTCCACTAAGTTCCATGAGCATCTTCAACCGTAGATGCAGCTGATCATGTGTCAGACCTCCATCAACAGATACGGGATCGAGTCAAATTATAGAAATGGGCTAATCAATGTAGCAGCAACTATGAAATTAAATGATAAAATAATTGTATTATTATTTAGATAAAGATTAGCATAGATTCAGGAGGTAGAAGGACAATCAGAAAAATCCTGCTCTCTTGTTCATCCACTTTTTTATTTCTTCAATATTTTATGCATAAAGTTTCATCGTTTTTTAATATGTTTTTCTTCCTCGTTCTCCTTTTTTGAAATGCTGGGGGACACATTTCTAATCTTTAAGTCTGTCTTCCTCTGGCCATTATAGTCTCCCCTTCTCTTTTTCCGTGGTGTGAATATATATATCATCACTCTCATTGTTGTCAAGCAAGAGACAAGAATAGAACAGATATAATTACTTTGAAATTCTCTTTCTCAACTCAATAAACATGGGGAGAGCTCCTTGCTGTGACAAAGCTAGCGTTAAGAGAGGCCCATGGTCGCCGGAGGAAGACGCCAAGCTCAAGGCTTATATAGACGAAAACGGCAATGGTGGCAACTGGATTGCATTGCCTCAGAAGATAGGTTAGCAATACTTCAGTTCTTGATATATATATCATTGTTGTCAAAGTTTCCTTTCTTATTACAAGTTCATTCTTGAATTACGATACCAAATTTCAGGGCTTAAGAGATGTGGCAAGAGTTGTCGTCTTAGATGGTTGAATTATCTTCGACCAAACATCAGGCATGGAGGGTTTTCTGAAGAAGAGGATAATATCATTTGTACCCTTTACATAAGCATTGGAAGCAAGTATATATATATATGATTACTAAAGTTGGGGTCTTTTTCTTCTTAATAATTACGCCTCTTATCAAGCTCTAACTTATATTCTCCTTTTTGAATGCGCAGGTGGTCTATAATTGCTGCACAACTGCCTGGGAGAACGGACAATGATATTAAGAACCACTGGAACACAAAGCTTAAAAAGAAGCTCCTGGGAAAACAGAGAAAAGAGCATCATGCTCGGAGAGCAACCTGCCTTTCTTTTAACCAAGAAATGAAGAGAGAAAGTGAGAATTATACGGTTCCTGGAACGGTGAACCAGGCAGCACACTGGCCACTGCTGCCACCACCAGTCATGCCCCAAGATCCCATCAAGAATCTGCTTGTTAAACTAGGAGGAAGATTTTCCGATTTACATCCACAAGCAAGCCCCACTGCCAAAAATCCCATGAATTTTCAATACCCTCTCGATTTTCCGTTTTCTCAAGACCAGCCATATGAGAATTCCATGAACATGTTTTCATCTGCTCCTTCTTCCCTTAGTCCCTTAAACAGTACTTGTTCTAAAGTCACAGACGGAATTACCCATTTTAATGTTAACGATGTCGATGGTCCTAATGATGTGTTTCAAGGTCTTGATGGTTTCCAAGCGGAGCTAAGTGAGCTGATCTACAGCAACAATCAACAAATATTAGATGAGTTTGATGGGTTTTATGGAACAGACAACATGGTCGATGGCACCAGTACTGGGACTAGTTCTGTCGAAAGTAGGAGCTGGGGAGACATAAATTCACTGCTCTATCCTCAAATTTTGTCTGTATTTGAAGCTTGCCGACAACAAAGCATCCCACAGGTTTCTAACTATGAAGAATCAAGCTACTTCGGCCCACAATGACAGCAATGTATATATATGGGTGGTGTAAATTTGAATCAACTAGGGCATTAGTTTGTTTTTTATCCGAGAATTTCAGAAAATAATAAAACTCCTAATGAATTCATGCAGAAAGAGATTGCTTTGTTTTTGTAATTCAACTTTTATAATTTTTCCATTTTCTTTCTCCTCAAAACCAGTTGATTATTTACTACTTTAAACAGCTTCTCTCTTGGTTTTCTTTTAACTTCCAACTTTTAGACTGTTTGCTTTGTTGAAAACTAATCATGCAAATAATTTAAACAAAAATGGGGACTCTCACAGTACAGCAGGTTCAATTACTAATATCGTTCTAAAACGATAACTTTATTTTCAAAAACTAAGTTAAAAAATGATTATAAAGTTAACATGGAAAATTACGTAGTTGAGAGATGCTGCCCACGATGTTCATGGAGGACATGGATTAAGCTTTAAAATGAAAAAAGCTCCCTATTGAATATAGTAAATGTATTTCATGTTGCAATAGGAATTCCATTTGTTGGCTGCTATCGTTTCCGCACGGTAATGGAATCAATCATGAGCTTATTAAAGCTTCATGCACTTTCTTCAATCTCCATTCATTATTCACTCACCCACACAAGGGAACTAATAATGGGTTATTGTTTCTTTTTATTTTTCGTCATTAAATGAATTTCCCAATAATGGTAGGGAAATGATGACACAGAAAGATAACCGAGATTTGTGTTTAATTATAAAAGAGCTTAATTTATTTTTAAGCATATGGGATAATGTGGGGAAAAGGCAACAGAAGCGAAATTAGCCATAGATATGTGTTTATGGATCTTAAGAGTCCTCTTTTCCTGGTTTGGCAGCATTCGATATTTGAGTATTTCCTATGTCAATCATGTGTCTCTTTCCATTCTTTATTTATAATGGAGGCTACTATCTAACAACAAAATAAATCATTAATTAGAATAATCCTAAATTAATTAGATTTAAAAAAAACTAATATCATTAATTCAATTGAATCAAGTCTTCATTTATATTCAAATATTTAGTCATTTATTAACAAAAAAATTCCATAATTTGATTTATATGTTTAGTTTAATTTATATTTTATCGTTTTTAAATAAAGGGGTTGTAGACACCATCTATAATGTTATTTCATTTATAAAAATAAACTTGTAATGTGCACCGAACTTGCTCTATAATGCTATTTCATTTTAAAAACCGTTTGATTAAAAATTGTCAATAAGGTATGATAGATTTGCAAAGGTTGAAGCCTTGGATTTTTTAGTATAAAAATAAGTGTTTAAATTGTACTCTTTTTTCCATTTAGCTGTTTAAATTATTTTTCGGTCAATTCAAGTGTCTAACATTACAAACGTTATTATTTTAAGTGTCTCGGTAATTGATTTTAATTTTAATTATATAAATATATTGATTTTATTTATAAATTTATTTATCCAGAACTAATAAGTCTAAATATATTCTAATTATCACTTCATTTATTTTTAATTTATAATAATTATTTTTATTATATTATATTATTAATACTTTGATTGAAAGAAGGGGTTTATTAATATTTACGCTAAAATCAAACAAATAGACATCAATCAGGTCATTGTCAAAATTGACTTTCGAGTCCAAATCGAGTAATTGATATTTGGATTTTTCAGGCAGGTGTTGCACATTGGATGAATTTTTTTTTGGGTTGATAAAATGGGTGAAATTATTCAGTTGAGCCTCATTTTGACTCCATTGGATTTTGTTGTGCAGGCCAATCTTGTTTTAAATTAGAATGGGTAGACATGTAATTGCCAGAAACTCTTATTTAATTTGGTTGACATCTTGAGGGCGAGAATGAAAGAATAGGAAGAAATCCAGAATATCAGAAAAGAAAATAAAGATGACCCGTATTTGATGACAGAGTAAAATACAGATTTAAAATATAAAAAGGAGGAAGAGAGACAGATGTGATGAAGGTAAGGGAAGCTAAAAATGAAGATGGGAGAAATATGTACTTATTTTATATTTCAATCAATTCTATTTACAAATATTATTCATTCAGTAATGGTTGAGTCTTCAACTATGTTTGATCGAATAATATTTTATATTTCAATCAATTGTATTTATATATATATTTAATTAGCTCCCGTAGTTTTCATATTGAACTTGAAAATGACAATGTGAACCTTTTGAATAAAAAGGTCAAAATTGAGAGATTTCGAGGCAAGCCCTAATCTTACCATCTTGATATTGTGGTCGCATCAAAAACATTTTCCGTGTGGATTGCAATTTGGTCCTTAGAAACAAGACAAAATTTTACAAAATGTAGTGGTAGATCATCATATGTCAATATCTAAGTTTGTGGACGGCGGCTTATTTTTTAGGGTATAATATTAAAATTAGCTCCAATGTTTATCAAAATGATCACTTTAGTCCTTACTTTTTTTGGGGAGTATTTTAACCCCTAACGTTTTATTTTAGGACAAAAAGACCTCTACCGTTTGACCGAATTGTCACTTTGGCTCTCAATGTTTTATTTTGGGGGTAAAAGACCCTTATTTTTTAGTGTTAACCGACCATTAACTAATTATTTTCATCCATAAAGTGACATTTTTTTTTCAAAAATAAAACGTTATGAGCTAAAATGCTAAAACAAGATGAGAATATGGACCAAAATGACTATTAGTTCAAACGTTAAGGATATTTTTTTGATATTATTCATTTTTTCAATATCATAATAAATCTAATAAATTGTTGTCTGATGCTGGAGAAATAGTGGGTACGAAATGCGAACCAAAATGTTATATAGCATTGCTAATTGCTAGGTAACTAAGAAAATAAGATAGGTAGAGACGTAAAGTGAAAGGAAGAATGGTTGAGAAGAAGCAGCAAAACAGAAATAAACTGGAAGAGTAGAACCAAATTTACCAGAATTTCAAGCTTAGTTTTTTAAGCCACATTGTGTCAAATCCCATTAACCATAACCAAACTCTGAATGAAACCTTGATTAAAGGCAGCCAACCCAGACCATGACAAAAGCCTCCCGACGACTCCACATCCCCTTTTCACTTTGTATGCAGATTAAATTCTAATAAATTAGCCAATCGTATTTTGTAGTATATCTTGTGATATGGACACTCACTAATACGAAAAAAATATAGTTTTTCAAAGTTTGAAAACATGTTTTTATTATAATATTGGGAAAATGGACTTGTCTGTTTATTCTTTTTCCACCAAGATGTTGCCTGGTTTTTCATTTTTCTAATCCATACAGCTGTGCAAAAACAGTATGCTCGCAATTTCAGTAATAAAATCAAAATAAATAAATAAAGTAAATTGAGGAAAGCAAAGGGTGTTTGTTTTCAAGTACATCTCAGAACGTGGTGCTTAGTCCCCAGATATTTAAACATAATATTTTTCACGAACGAATCAAATAATTTCAGTGATTAAGGATGGTCTGCATAGATGTTTGAACATTAATAATAAAATGATTAAAAATCTTTTGAATAGATAATATCTTATAATCATTCTATAACAGTAAAAAAACATAATATCCTTACTGCGTCAGAAAATACTTCTGAGATATGAATAATAGGCCCAAACCAGTGGCCAATTTCTAAACTGCAATACCTTGGGACTAATGGCCTGCTTAAAGCTGGTTATAAAGTCTCCAACTGGGGAGGCCAGTTTACAAATTTTGTAAATGAACCAAATCTCATGGACCGTCCAAAACTTCCGTTACCTTTTGAAAACATGCATATCCCACAGAAACCTCTTAACCGGCAAATCCCTCCACACTCTTTACATCAAATCTATCGTCCCTTCTTCAACTTACCTTTCCAATCACTTCATCCTTCTCTATTCCAAATGCGGCTTTTTAACCACTGCCAACAACGCTTTTCACCATACCCAACACCCCAACACCTTCTCTTTCAACGCCATCATCGCTGCTTACGCCAAGGAATCCCTCCCTTCTATTGCCCACCAGCTGTTCGATCAAATTCCTCACCCTGATCTTGTTTCTTATAACACTCTTATTTCCGCTTATGCGGATTGTGGTCGGACTGAACCTGCATTGGGTCTGTTTAAAAGAATGAGACAGCTGTGTCTTGAAATGGATGGTTTTACTTTGTCTGGGGTGATCACGGCTTGTTTAAATAATGTGTTTTTAATAAGACAGATACATTGCTTTGTAGTTTTTGGTGGATTTGATGCAGATGCTTCGGTCAACAATGCGTTGCTTTCGTGCTATAGCAAAGAGGGTTTTTTAGAGGAAGCAAAGCGGGTGTTTAATGAGATGGGAGAGGGGAAAGATGAAGTGTCTTGGAACTCCATGATTGTGGCCTACGGGCAACATAAAGCGGGTGCAAAAGCATTGGAGTTGTTTCAGGAAATGGTTAAGAGAGGATTCGATGTCGATATGTTTACTTTGGCCAGTGTTTTGACAGCATTTACAAGCTTAAAGGACCTGCTTGGAGGATTTCAGTTTCATGCTATGTTGATCAAAACTGGATTCCATCAAAATGCTCACGCTGCGAGTGGTTTGATTGATTTGTACTCGAAATCTGGAGGTGGCATGTCCGATTGTCGGAAAGTTTTTGAAGAGGTTTACAGACCGGATTTGGTTCTTTGGAACACTTTGATATCGGGGTACTCCTTGAATGACGAACTCTCTAAGGAGGCTCTTGAGTGTTTCCGGGAGATGCAACGTGTCGGTTATCACCCTGATGATTGTAGCTTTGTGAATGTGATTTGTGCATGCTTCAATTTGTCATCACCTTCTCAGGGAAGACAGATTCATGCACTGGTAACCAAATCTGACGTCCCTAACCAAATTCAAGTCGATAATGCCTTGATTGCTATGTACTCGAAATGCGGAAATCTTCAGGATGGAAGACGGTTATTTGATAGAATGCCGGAACATAATACTGTCTCTTTGAATTCGATGATTGCTGGTTATGCACAACATGGGATTGGAACGGAGGCATTAATTCTTTTTGAGCACATGCTGGAGCGGAATATTTCCCCTACGAGTATAACCTTCATCTCCGTTCTTTCAGCTTGTGCTCATACAGGAAAAGTCGAGGAGGGTCAGAAGTATTTCAACGATATGAAAGAAAAGTTCAGAATTGAACCAGAAGTGGAGCACTATTCGTGCATGATTGATCTATTGGGTCGAGCAGGCAAGCTACATGAAGCTGAGAAGCTCATAAAGAGTATGCCAGTTAACCCTGGTTCAATCGGCTGGGCTGCATTGCTCAGTGCTTCTAAAATACATGGGAATATGGAACTAGCATCAAAGGCAGCACACAAGCTTCTTCAACTGGAACCTTCAAATGCTGTACCTTATGTCATTCTTGCAAACATGTATGCCAGCTGCGGCAAATGGGAAGAGGCAGCCATGGTTAGAAAGTTTATGCGAGATAGAGGTGTAAGGAAGAAACCGGGTTGTAGTTGGATAGAGGTGAATAAAAGAATTCATGTGTTTGTGGCTGAAGATATTTCACATCCAATGATCAAAGAAATTTACAAGTATTTGGAGGAGATGGGAAGGAAGATTAAGTTAGCCGGGTATGTTTCAGATCTGCGCTGGAGTTTAGTTAAGGACGATGAGATAGATGCAGGAGAGAAGGAGATACAGTTAAGGCATCACAGTGAGAAGCTAGCGGTTGCATTTGGGCTGCTGTCGACAAAAAATGGGGAGCCTATACTTGTGATTAAAAACCTGAGGATATGTGGAGATTGCCATAACGCAATCAAGTTTATCTCTGCTATTTCTGGGAGAGAAATCACTATAAGGGATACCCATAGGTTCCATTGTTTCAAGGAGGGGCAGTGTTCTTGCGGAGATTATTGGTAATGCTTTTGGCTCATTGTTGATGACCTCAAAAATCAAATATCTCAACCTATAAATTTGAGAAACGCTGTTACATGAATGGTCAGGGTTAAATTTGAACCAATTCAGAGATATTGTATACCATCGAAATTATGCAAGATGCTGGCAACAATTATAAATGTAACAGTAATCAATTAATATTATTAGATTGCAGAATTAGTAAATCAATAACAAAAAAAACAGTAATGAGACTGCTGATTGACACATCACTTCTACTAAATTTAGTTACCCAAACAGGTAGGCTATATTTTCATTTAGAGCTGAAGATAAATATTTTACCATGACAAAACAGAATCAATTGAAAACTTGTACCTTAATGAATTGAGCTGCATTTTTATCTTGGATCAGTGGTATTGATTTAGGTGAAACACTTGACGTGCTGGCTGGAATGGCTTCTTTGATGAAGCCTGCTTAAACTTCTTAGTGCCAGCTTCATTTTCTTCTAAACTAGTCTGGACGAGAAACCAAATCCACAATCCATCAAGTTGAACTCTGGATTTTAGCCTTCAAGGATGAAACAAGTTATGTCAGTGGTACGCTAAACTTGACACATTAATGTCAGCGATAGTTGACAATTCTGAAACAGAGATCACAACCGAGAATAAGTGGAAAAAGTAACCATTTTGGTTATAATGCATGCGCGTCTTCTTTTGTTCATTGACGCCTTCTATCTTCCTAGCAGACTATGTTAAGGCATCTATCTCAAGCAAATATACAAGCACTTTCTCTGCCAGAGTAACTCTAATTTTATAATTTATATGCAACTTAAGAGTAAGGAATAACCTGTGAAAATAATTAAACCTTCAGAGGCCACCCTTGCCAACTCAGGAAGAGTTTTGTTCAGGTTTTTGGAGACAAATAATCAAGGGCATCTGACACAATAGGAATAGAAAATGACTTTGCCCTGTAGGGAAGTGGGAAGAGTGCATCAGAGGGGACTATATACTGATCCAACTTGAGCCAGGTTGCTTCGTTACCCCAACATTTTTCATGGATTCCCTCACTCTAGCTGCATCTTCCCATTGCCCAGCAGCTGCATATGCATTTGATAAAAGCACATAAACTGATGGATTATTGTGCTCTATTTCAAGGAGAAACTTAGCAATAATTCTTGCAAGCCTTAGATTACTACAAGCAGCACAAGCACTGAATATGGTCCACCAGATATTATACTGGGGTTCAATATGCTCACTATATATTACTCTTTCAGCTTCATCAAGATACCCAGCCCGACCAAGAAGGTCAATCATGCATGAAAGATGATCTTCTCCAGGCACAAAGCCATACTCATGTACCATGGAATTTAATATCCAAGTGGCATCATCAACTAAACCAGCATGGCTGCAGGCAGAAAGAAGAGCAGTAAATGTTGCTTGATCAGGTTTAACCCCAACTGCACATTTCATTGCCTTGAAACAATGGACAGCTTCTTTACCTTCTCCATGCTGCGCAAAAGCAGAAATGAGGGCATTCCAAGAGATTGTGTCCTTTTCAATCATCTCATCAAAAACTCTCAAAGACCAATTTAAAGTTACACATTTTGCGTACATTGTGATTAGAGCATTGCCTAAAGATGTTTCTGAAGAAAAATCACGCCTGAGGATATAACCATGAAGTTGTTTCCCATTACTTAAGGATGAGATGCTGGCACAAATACTAATAGCGATGCTAAGTGTATATTCATTTGGCCTGAGATTTGACATTAATAGTTTAGTTAATTGCCTTAGACCCTGAGCTGGGAACCCATTTAGAAAGAACCCTGATATAATAGTATTCCAGGAGATCATGTTCTTGGTAGACGCTTGAAATAATTGACAGGCTTGATTCATCTTCCCATGCTTAGAGTATGAACTTAGAGTATGAAGAAACCAATGCGTTGGAAACCTGGACTCTTGAAATAAGTCCATTTTTAAACACAAGGGCATGAATCATCTCACCCATTTCTATGAATTCTGAGCATGACAATAAGCTTCCAAAAGTGAACTCATCCGGTTCAATCCCTGACCTTTGCATTTCCATGTAGATAAGAAAAGTCGAGCTACTAGAGCTTCTTTGAGAATAAGTTGATACCAGAGTATTCCATGACACAATATCCTTCTGCTCCAATCTCTCAAAAACTAAACGAGCAGTATTTAAATCCCCACAACTAGAATACATAGTTATCGCTGCATTGCTCACAGAGGTAGACTGTTCAAAACCCAACTTTACTGCTTGTGCGTATACTTGATCCCCAGCTCTTGCACATGAACAAGAGCTAAGTAGACTCACAAAAGTCAGTTCAGAGGGGCTCAAACAAGCCTGTAACATCTCCCTAAACATTAACGATGCATGTTTGACTCTTCCTACGTTCATTAAACCATCTATCATTACATTAAAAGTAATAGGATCATACACGAAGCTCTCTACTTCTTCAAAAACCCGGCATGCATTTACAACATCTTCACAATTAAAATACATAGTAATCGCAGCATTAACCACAGAAGCTCGGAACAAAAACCCAGTTTTAACCACCAACGCTTGAACTTGCCTCCCAAATCCCAAATTTTCACAATAACACTCGCTCAACACACTGGCAAGGCTATAATTATCATGCTTAAAACCCAAAAAGTGCATCTGCTTGAAAAAGCCAAACCCAAGGTCTTCATAACCATTTTCCATACACCCAGTAACCATGACATTCCATACCGCCATTTCTTTCTTAGGCATCTTGTCAAACACCTGGCAAGCATAAGAAATTCCTCCCAATTTGGTACAAGAAGACAACATGGTAGTCCAAGAATAAACATCCGGTTCTTTAATTTCATAAAAAACCCTCTGAACTGAAGCTAAATGATGGGTGTTGGAATAGAGGAAAAGGAGAGTGTTTGAGACATGAGAGTAGGCTTTGAAGCCGGATTTGATGGCGTAGGCGTGGAGTTTTGTTCCGAATGGGAGGTTGGGGAGATTGGCACATGCTTTGAGGGTGGTGGATAGACTGTAATGGTCGGGTCTAACATTGTGGTGTAGGCAGTGAATTTCGTCGAATAGATGGAGGGCATCTTGGTAGCGAGTTGAGCGAGTTAAATTTGCTAGGCGAGAGTTGAGTTTGATCAACTTCAACTGTAGTTGGTTTAGACAATTTTCAGTTCTGATAGTTATACCCTTTGTGAAATAGCTACAAACACTCGTCATTACTCAAATGGTCATCCTTTCTCTTATTTTTCGGATTAGAATCGTCAACCTTTCTCATGCATTCGCAATGTAGCTTTCGTCCTCATATAAACTCCATTGGATTTACGGAAACAAAAGTGTTGTGAGATAGAATTTGAGGTAAGCAGAGCTTCATTGAATCATTGGTATTAAACTGTGGGGGGCACATTCGAAGAATAAACATTAAATGTAAAATGGTTGTGTTGCCATTGCCAATACATATAATTCAGGGCAGGGTTTAAAGTTATGAGCTAAAGTGCATTGAAGGAAGATCAATGAACCCCACAAATTACTGAAAATGAAGGCAAAAACCTTTTTCCCAGGGTGAGTTCCCCCGACTACCACGTACATTATCTTTATGATCCAGCTACCCACCCACATGTGGCCGAGTGTTTTCAATTTTGTATGTTATTATAGAAAAATATTAATTAATGTTATTAATAGAAGAGTGAATTGCGTCATTCATCCTCAAACTATGATAATCTTTTTAAATTGGTCCCTAAACTTTTAAAAGTTTCAATTTCATACCTAAATAATGGCAATCATTCTAAATTTGTCCTCAAAACTTTTAAACCTTTTAATATTTTTACGATTACTATTTTAATAATTTAATTGTCATGTTTATCTCTAAATCTATTGAGTGACTTCAGTGATTAAAAAGAGTGTTATTCTTCGTTGAGGTTCGAAGTTCAAATAATTGTATCTGCTAAGTATGTGTGTTATTAGTGACTAAAAAATATAAACAAATATTATCTTAAACTATTAAAAAAATCTATCATGTTTTATATTTTATTATATAAAAATATTTATCTTTAAATATATATTAACAAAGGTATTATATAAATTAATATTATAAAAATATTATATTAATTAAAAAATCAATATACATTATAAATATGATTATATTAATAAACTTAACGGTCTTGTTATGAAAATATTAACTGCACACAAAATTATTAAAGCATACAAATTTGAAGAAAAAAATATATAATAGTTCAAGGTATTTACAATCCTAGATTTTCTCTAACCCGATTTTTTTTTAATATTTTCGCGTTGCTTTATCTCCCCCATTTGATTTTTATTTAGCCGACAACAATATTAATTTTAGTATTAGTTATCCACTACCAACGATTATTAGTTTTCTTATTTTTTTTTTATATTATATCGTTTGTATTCTTTTTTTCTTGAGTTTTTTTTTCAATTCTGAAAAATAATTTATGTTATTATGACATGTTTTTTCTATGCTATTGTGGTACGCTCCTTATGACTTTTGTTACATTTTTCGCATACCTTTGCAGTCGTTTTGGTGCTCGTACAAATATGCTAACGTCATTTGTTTTCTTATTAGTTTGTTGGTGGTCACATATAGTCAGATCCCCTATTTGGTAAAAGGTTGTTTGCCGATATAATTAGATTTGTATAGCGAGACAGACTGTCATATAGTTTGTTTCGCTCATCACTTATTTATCACTTTGTAAAACGTCTCATTTGATAGAGACAATGAGTTTTTATGAAGATCAATGGATTCTTTTGATGTTTGATGTCATTTTAAGGGAATTTTTTTTTCTTTATATATTTGAGTTTAATATGCTTTTGTATGAATTTTTTTTGTGATTATTGTTTCAATTTTTCTCTCTATACTTAGATGTATTGTAATTATGATTTATTTTATTATTTTGATCAATGAATCGAGTTTTCATAGTTAAAAAAAATATCGATTCAATTTTAAATTAAAAGTGGGGAAAATATTATAGAAAAAGAGTCCTTAATATTTGTTTATTTTTCAATTATGTCTTTAATATTATCATATTATATCTTTAAAAATATTCACACTCAAATTAGCATTCAAAAAGAACTTACTTA